CTCACTTTTGAAGGTTGGAATAGCTTTCCTCCAAGAGACCCATCTCTGCAATTCTGATGACCCTCGGATTCAACGCAGCTGGGTTGGTCAGGTATATCATTCGCAATATAATGCCAAGAGCCATGGATAGGCCATTTTAATACACAAAAATGTCCCATTTGTGGTTAGCAAGGTTGAGTCAGATAATAGAGGCAGCTTTGTTATTGTGTCGGGCAAGCTTTACAGCAAGCCAGTCACTCTGGTGAATCTCTACGCACCTAACTGGGATGAAAGACACTTCTTTACTAAACTATTCTCTTTGATCCCAGATATAGACACCCATGCATTAATACTCGGCGGGGACTTCAATTGCACTCTTCAACCAAGTCTTGATAGGTCATCATCCAAAGTAATACCTCCATCCAAATCAGCGTCCACTATACAAACACTGTGTGATCAATATGGTCTCTCTGACCCCTGGAGATTTCTGTTCCCCTCAGCCAAAGCCTTTTCTTTTTTCTCCCCGGTTCACCACTCTTTTAGCCGCATCGACTTTTTTCTACTAGATAATAACCTACTCTCTCTAATTAAAAATTGCTCCTATGATAGTATTGTCATATCAGATCACACCCCAGTCTCGTTTGAATTGATTATACCACACCAACCTCCATCATTTTCGCCCTGGAGACTCAACCCGCTTTTACTTGCTAATGACAAATTCTCACAGTTTTTGACTTCCGAAATTAAGACCTTCTTGGAGTTCAGTGACTCCGCAGAAATCTCCAGATCAACCTTATGGGAGGCCCTCAAGGCCTACATTCGAGGCCAGATTATTTCTTATACGTCTAGTATCAGAAAACAGGAGGCCGCTAAACTTAAGGAGCTATCGCAGGCTATTCTCAGACTAGACGAATGATATGCTCAATCACCTGACCCTCATTTGTATAAGGAAAGGCTGCGCCTTCAGGCCGATTATGATTTATTATCAACTTCAAAAGAGGAATGATTGCTGTTGAAGTCTCGACACAAATTTTATGAGCACGGAGATATAGCTAGCAAGCTTTTAGCTTCACAAGCTCGCCAATTCAACTCATCTCGAGTGATACCTCAAATTAAGTCTCCTATTGGCGCTATGTTAACCAACCATAAAGATATAAATGACTGTTTTTCTGCATTTTACACATCCTTATATTCCTCGGAATGTTCAAATGATTCTTCCCTAATCGACTCTTTTTTCGACAACATAAATTTACCAGCGATCGACAAACAACTAAACTCTAAGCTCGAGCACCCTCTTATATCATCCGAAATCACTGGAGCTATTGCGGCTATGCAGAGTGGAAAATCTCCGGGTCTGGATGGATTCTCAGCCGAATTTTTTAAAAAGTTTTCCACGTTACTATCACCACTACTTCTTGCCATGTTCACTGAGTCTTTTGACCGCGGAACATCTTCCCACTACTTTAACCCAGGCCTCGATTTCCTTATTAGCGAAGAAATGTAAAGATCCAACCCTCTGTGAATCGTATAGGCCTATCTCCCTCCTTAATGTCGATTTAAAAATCCTTGCCAAGGCCCTTGCTCTCCGGCTAGAGACAGTGCTGCCTTCAGTAATCTCTTCCGACCAGACTGGCTTTATTCAGAAGCGTAACTCTTTTCATAATTTGCAACGACTTTTTAATGTTATTTATACACCTTCCCGGTCTGGAGCTCAAGAAATGATCGTACGGGGTACGAGACAGGGCTGCCCGCTCTCCCCCCTTTTATTTGTAATAGCCATTGAGCCACTAGCTATATCCCTACGTCACTGCCCACACTTCAGTGGTATCACTCGGAATGACACAGAGCATAAGGTTTCATTATATGCGGATGATTTACTTCTGTACATCTCTAATCCCACTTTGTCTGTTCCGCATATCCTCGCTATTCTGCAGAATTTTGGTAAATTCTCAGGTTACAAACTCAATTTCTCCAAAAGCGAATATTTCATTGTCAACCCATCCGCCCACCCTGTGAACTCCTCTATCCCATTTAAAGAAACGCAAAACGGGTTTAAACATTTAGGAATAATGGTCACACGCTCTCTTAATGCACTTCTGAAACATAACTTTGGCCAGCTACTGGACCGATGTAAGGAAGATTTGACAAGGTAGTCCACTCTTTCCTTATCTCTGGCAGGCAGGATTAATTTAATTAAGATGATTGTCCTTCCCCGCTTTCTCTATTTATTTTTGAACATTCCCATATTTATTAAGAAATCTTTTTTCAATAGCCTGGACAAATTAATTCTATCTTTTGTGTGGGGTAATAAGGGTCATCGCATCAGAAAAGCCTTCCTACAGAGACCAAAAAAATTAGGATGAATGGCCCTCCCTAACTTCCTTCACTACTACTGGGCAAGCAATATACAAAAGATACTTTTCTGGACTGACCAATCGGAAGACAATCAGGCTCCCATCTGGGTGCAGGAAGAAAAATCCTGTAGTCAGTTCTCTCTCAGCTCTATAGTTTGCTCACCTCTCCCCATGTGTGTGTGGAAGCCACCACCTCTAATCCCATTGTTTCTCATACATTGAGAATCTGGTCTCAATTTAAGAAGCATTTCGGCCTACAGGAAGCGTCGATCCTATCTCCGGTCACCTCTAACATTGCCTTCACCCCATCTAATACTGACACAGCATTTCTACTGTGGCACAGAAATGGAATCAAATGCATAAAGGACTTATTCTCTAACAATGCTTTCCTTTCTTTTGAACAACTTAGACAAAGGTTTTATCTCCCCAGAACTCACTTCTTTCTGTATTTGCAGATAAGGCACTTTACACAGAAAAAATTCTGCTCCTTTCCACATTTACCCCCGGCGTCTCCAATTGAACAACTTCTGGATTTGAACCCCACTACCAGAGGCCTAATCTCTAACGTCTACACGATGATTAGCTCTATAAACCCCCAAATGCTGAAGCACCTAAGACGAGCTTGGGAGCAGGACCTAGATTTGCGTTTCTCAGAGGTTGTATGGGATGGAATGATCAATCAAGTACATTCCTCTTCTCCCTGTGCTAGGCACGGGCTTATTCAATTCAAGGTCCTGCACTGGCTCCATATTACTAATTCCAAGTTGGCCAGGATTTTTCCAAATGTTGACCCTGCTTGTAATAGTTGCAAACACTCCTCATGCACCCTGGCTCATATGTTCTGGCTCTGTCCAGTTATGAAAACATTTTGGAAGGAAATTTTTAAGTCCTTTAGTGAGATCTCCGGTCTTTCCATTGACCCAAACCCATTCATGGCTATATTTGGCACAAGACCGGATGGCATTGCCATTGTAACAACATGCATGATTTCATTGCATTTACGACTTTACTAGCGAGGCGGCTAATCCTTCTTAAATGGAAGCATGCGTCCCCCCCCACACACAGTAGATGGGTGAAAGAGGTACTGCTACACATTAAACTAGAAAAGATAAAATTCACTCTGAGAGGCTCTTTGAAAAGGTTTCACAAAAAATGGTCCCCCTTTTTGGTTTATTACGATAGACTACAAGTGTCAAATTGGGATGAGTAATGATCTGAGCTGAGTTGAAGGCTGTCCCCTCTCTCTCTCTCTTTTTCTCTTTTTCACTGATCTTTCCTCTCTTCCCCCTCCTCTTTCTGTCCCCCCCTTTTTTTTTTAATTTTATTTTATTTTATTATTATTTTTAAAATTTTTATCTTTAATTTATTTATGCACTTTTATTTATTTATTTTTTTTAATTTACTTTTTCTTTCTAATAATTTGCAAATGCTATCATGGTCTTGGAGTTGTTGTTTTGTTATTATTATTATTATTATTATTATTTTTTAATTATTAATTAGTTTATCTATTTACTTTTTGGACCAGAATATCTGTCACTGCATTGATCTGTGTGATTAGGACTCTTGTTGACTCCTGGGCAAGGGCTGATGGAACTCAACCAATATTCTGATGGTTTCTGTGTATTGTGGGTCCTGTCCCAACCTTCTGGGGCTGCGGCCTCCCTTCTCAGAATGTCTTGGACTGTTATACCGGCTCTTGACCATGTCAGGCCACAACTTGTGCCTTTAATTTTATTTTTATTTTTTCCTTGATTATTTACCTGTATTGTAACTATGTTTTTGTTACTTAATACCTTTTGTTTTTTTTGTTTGTTTTTTTAATATATATATATGTATATACTTATATCTATGTATTACTTTGCACAGTGATGCAATGTGGGGTGGGTTGGAAGTGGGTTGGGGTTTATAAATGGCACATCTAATAGGGTAAAATTGATGTATTCTACTACTGTCTGCTGCCCAAAATTTCAATAAAAAGATTAATAAAAAAAAAAAAGTTCTGCCCTCAAGCTTTGAAAAAGACAACTGTACTGAGTGAATAAAAAAAAGATAAATCACATTTTCCTCAGAGTTTGTTTTCCACACCTACAAACAGGATGTTATGAGCTAACATGTGCTGACTTTTTATTCTTTGCACAACAAAAAAAAAAAAAAAAATCAAAATTCATACATGTTATTCCTATGGTCTAAGAGAGTCAAAAACAATCAGTAAATATGAACAATTCTCTCATTAATCCAAAAACTAAAATGCTACAACTCAAATTTGCATTTTTGTCAAGTATGAAGTTTGGAGCTGCTCAAAAGACAATAAATGGCAACAGATGTTGTCGATTAAACCGAGAGCTTGTTGCTTCTTGAGATGTTCAGAGTATATGGCTACATTTTCTGTTTCATAGCTGAGAACACTACAACAGAATAAAGCTCATTTGGGTAAATAAAGAACACATTCCTTGGGTCCACAAAATCAGTCTCCATTGTCTATGGAGCAGCTCCAGACTTAATACTTGATGAGATCACACATCACTTGTTGGGGGCATTATGAGAGACAGAATAAATCAAGGCAGCAAAGGCTGAGATAGGAATGTTTTCACAGGCTGAGTGGTACTGTCCATAACGGATAACTTCAGTAAATGCATGACTTTAGCATCCATTTAATCAGTGCCTTACTTCGAGCAGCTGATCGACTTTGGTTTGCAACCATAATATTCTTCAAGCGATTCAAGAAGGCTTTGCAGCGGTAGATGACCAGATTCATGGTGCAGGCATCTGAAAGAACAAAGACAACACCAGACAACTGGGGTTATTCACATATGAACTAAATAATTTCCACAATACCATAAACCTCAAGAATCACTTGACACCACCTCCTGTGAGTTTGGATTGGCAGTTCACAAACTCTGTGTGTCTGGGGGGAACGTAGCTCTTCCGCCGGGCCTGGAGGGTTTTGGATGCAGAGCCTGGTGAGGAGTCACTGGGACCAGGTTCTGCCTCACGTTGAGCGCTCTGACTGGCTCTCCCCCGGCGGCCAGCCTTGCCCAGACTCCCTGCTTTCCCTTCCCAGTAGGTCTGGCAGGCATGGTACAGGATCTGGACAAAGATACACTTGTCTGCTGATGAGCTGGCTACCCACTGGTCCACAGCATTGTCAAAGACCAGGTCAAACTCTGGGCTGTCCTGGAAGAGCGTGACACAGTCAAGAGGACAAAACTGGCAAGCAACTTAACATGTGTAACTTATTATAACGGATATGTTAATGGCCACTACTGGTAAGAACAACATGTGAATGCTGCTGACCTTGTTGGGGTTGATGCCATTGACCTGTCGGAGCTGCTCTACCGTCCACTGGGACCTCCTGGTGAAGGAGGAGGAGCCACCAAACAGCTTCACTTTTGTAATAAGGAGCTGATGTGGCCTTTTGTTGGTCACTAGGTAAACAGATTGTATACAAAATACAATATTCCCATTAAAAGCCTTCAGTAATACTTTATAATGGAACAGGTTTACAAAATAGCTGCTCAAAAGACACTAGAAATGCCACACTGAGAAATGGTAAATGGACTGCACTTGTATGGTGTCTTTGTAGTCAACCATGCAAAGTGCTTTTTACGCTACATGTCACATTCACCCATTCACACACTCATAGGCGAGGCTACCATACATGGTGCCACCTGCTACTCAGTAACCATTTACACACACTCACACACCCACGGGGCAGCCATCTGGAGCAATTTGGGGCTCAGTAGCTTGCTCAAGGATACTTTGACATGAAGACTGGAGTAGCTGGGGATCAAAATGCCTATCTTCCATTTACTGGACGACTTGCTCTACCTCTGAGCCACAGTTGCCCTGATCTTGAGTTTAAGTTTTGTGGCCTTGACTGGTTAATCATTTCTGGCAGTAACAGACTATTAATAGTTAATGGTTGTACAGTTAGATTTGGTAATAAAGGCTCTGCTTTTTGAGGTAGCTCAAGGACTCTAGGGAGCAGCATAGTCTGCTGAATCAGTGACATCTTTTAAATCACTTCTTAAAACTTATCTGTTCAAAAAAGCCTTTTATTAATTTTAGCACACTGCTTATTTCATATATGTCTCATTGGATTATTTTTTATTGTTTTTATCTTGTGTTGTCAGCGGTTTTGTATTTAGTTTTTTATAACTCAAATAGTTCGATTTGCTGTACCTCATTGCAATCTATAGGTCAATTTGATGCCAACTTTGCTTATCTGCTTCAGTGATGGTATTTTATCTTCATTTTATTTTTTTGTTCTTTGTATTTCCTTAAAATTGCCTAATTTTATTTGCTTGTACTCTGCATTGCTTTAAATCTGGGATCAACCATGTAAAGCACTTTGTAACTTTATAAATAAAGTTTATGTTTATTTTTATTATTATGTTTATTATTATTATTATTATTGTTATCATGAATATCAGACATTTAGCTATCCAATTATACCAAACACTTAAGGAAGAGGTTGGGGGTGGTGGAGAGAGATGCAGCATATGAGTGAGTGTTTAGGACATGAGGGAGTAACCCTTTGCCACAGGATTGTCAGACCTATACTGCAAGGACTGAATCATCAGCCATAGAGCTAACCACTCTATTACTTCCACTTTAACCCTTTCCTTTGGGGTCCTGACAACAAAAATGACAACATCACCTTCACCAAATGTGTTTGAGACAAAGGGAAGGGTTATCACATCAATACTTTCCTACGTATTGATGTAACGAGGTGGGAAAAGCATAAGCAAATATATATACAGTGGGGGAAATAAGCATTTAACGTGTCAACATTTTTGTCATTCAAGATATTTCCAATGAAGCTGTTCACATGAAATTAACACCAGACTTTTATATTAACTCGATAAAACCATACATATAAAGAAATCACAACATTACAATCCATAAAAAAGTTATGTGCAATAAAGTGGAATAACGCAGGAAAAGGTATTAAACACACCAACTGAAATGTATTTAATAATTGGAGGAGAAGCTTTTGTTTGCAATGCCAGCTTTTAAGATGTATAAAGAAATCAATCTGTCACAGTGTTCAAATGGGATTTTGGTCTACTCTTCTTCTTAATCGTACTATTTACAGAAAAAGTTTGAAACCGCAAACACAAGAGTCATACCAGCTCGGATGTTTCCCAGGTCAACAAGGTCCGCATTAAGTGCCGAGGAACCAGGGCAACCTGATGAGAAATGGGCTAGACAAAAGCCCTTTTTAAATAGAAATTGTGCAAATTTGCAGGAAAGCCCAATCAGTCGTCGTTCAGCATTGGCAGTATAAAAACAAAATCGGAGAGTGCAGCAAAATGCTGCCTGCCCACTTTTGTTCATACAGAATGTGCCTTTTTCGGGGTAATGGGGGAGAGCAATGAGCAAGTAACAAAAAGTGTAGCTCAGCGTGTGACGTAAACAGTGACGTACTCTGAAGGAAGCAGCAGCTGGTCAGTCCTACAGCGATTCTCATAAGTTGGCCCGTCCGTCACCGTTCCCGTTATTTGACGGTTAATGGCCTCTTCGTTTGCGAGGGCAAGGAGGGCACGCAATTCCTTGTCTCCCCAGTTGCTCATCTTTACAGTGTCTTTCAGGTTTGGGTTTCCCTCTTGCTACTAGCTGCTCATTCCTGCTAAAAGCTATTTCCTTTTAGTCCACTACCAGTGGATCGCATGTGCAGCGTCATCAACAGCTCCTCCCACAAGTCTTCAACAGCCCCTCTAATGGCGGAAGGGCGCCTTGTTCTTTTTAAACCAAAAAGGTTCCGCCAATATGTCTACCCTACGAGGCGGAAAATTGGGCACCTCGGATCAACTTGCCAATCCAGCTTTTTGTGTCTAAACGCTTGCAGCTTGCCAGCAAAACGGCCCAACATTTGCCGAAAATCTGGCAGTGTAAAAGGAGCAATAGATGGACTAGGGCAGAGAATATGCACCTGTTATAATGCTTTTATACAAGTAACCCCAGCTAGAGGGCAGATGACAAATGTGTATTTGCAGAAAAGTTTGATGTTTGTCTTGTCCGACCAGACTATATTCTCCCAGTAATCCAAAGGCTTTTCCAAATGATGTGTAACAAACTTAAAACAAGCTTTTGGGCAACAGCACAACATGTCATGTGACCATGAAAATACCACACCCACAGTGTAGTTTGGAGGATGAAGCATCATGGTATGGGGCTGTTTCTCCTCTTATGGTACCAGCAGAATGCAAAATATTTTTGAGAAGATGAATGGGGCCATAAACCAGGAATTTCTTGAGAAGAATTTGTTGCCATCCACCAGGACGGTGAAGATAAGTCACAGGTGGATCTTCAGCAGGAAAAAGATCCAAAACAGACTGTGAAGAAGAGTCTCAACTGGTTAAAGAGGAAGAAAATAAAGGTATTGGAATGACCCAGTTGATCACCAGACTGAAACCTGATAGAACATTTGTGGAAGAAGCTGAAGATCAAGATTCACCAGCTGCCCCTTAGAATTCTCTAGATGTAAAGACTGTCTGTGTGGAACAATGGACCAAACTCCCATATGAACACTGTGACACACTGATTTCTTCATACAGGAAGCATCTTACGCATACTTATGTACCATACATATGTATATGTATACATATATATTTATATATCTATATATATCTATATATATAGATAGATAGATAGATAGATAGATAGATCACCCTCTCAGGGTGGTATCTGCATTATACTCAAGCTCGGGTCCTCTACCAGAGGTCTGGGAGTTTGAGGGTTCTGTGCTGTATCTTAGCTGTTCCTAGGACTGCACACTTCTGGACTGAGGCTCCATATGTTGTTTCTGGAATCTGCTGGAGCCACTCTCCCAGTCTGGGGGTCACTGCCGCGAGTGCTCCTTCTACCACAGGGACCACGTCAACTCTGACCTTCCACATCGGTTCCAGCTGTTCTTTCAACCCTTGATACTTCTCCACCTTTTCGTGTTCCTTCTTTCTGATGTTGCTGTCAGCTAGTATCACCACATCTACCACCTCTGGTGTTTGTCAACCACCACTATGTCCGGTTGGTTAGCCAGCAGCTGTTTTTCAGTCTGGAAACTGAAGTCCCACAGGATCTTAGCCCTGTAATTCTCAACCACCTTCGGTGGTGTGTCCCATCAAGGTTTGGGTACTTCGAGTCCATCCTGGGTACAGATGTTTGTGTACACTATCCCAGCCACTTGGTTGGGCCTCTCCATGTATGCTGATCCTGATTGCATCTTACACCCTGCCACTATTTCCTGGACCATCTAAGGGACATCTTTGTCTTGTCCCTCCATTTTGTTTGCTCTTCCTCCTCCTTTAAAGTTAAAGTCACACACCTGAGTGTGAAATTTGTTCTCCGCATTTGACCAATACCCTGAGGGAGCGGTGAGCAGCAGCGGTGCTGCGCTCAGGAGTCATGTGCTGAGTGCCAAGAAGGGAGGCAATGGGTCCCATTTTTATAGTCTTTGGTATGACCCGGGGATCGAACTCATGACCTCCCATTCTCAGGGCGGACACTCTAGCGCTAGACCACTGAGCTTGCCCTCCTCTGGTTTCTGTTGTCTGATGAACTCACTTAGCAGCTCATCCTTTGGGGCCATCTTCTTGATGTACTCCTGGATTTTGGATGTTTCATCCTGGATAGTGGCTCTGATGCTCACTAGTCCTCAACCTCCCTCTTTCCGCTTAGTGTATAGCCTCGGGATGCTGGATGTGGGGTGGAACCCTCCATGCATGGGTGAGGAGCTTTCTTGTCTCAATATCTGTGGCTTCTATCTTCTCCTTTGGCCAGCTTATGATCCCAGCTGGGTATCTGATGACTGGCAGTGCATACATGTTGATGGGTTGGACCTTGTTCTGACCATTCAGCTGACTTCTCAGGACTTGCCTTGCTCTCTGGAGGAACTGTCCTGGATATTTCCTATATTGCCCTCCGGTAGGTCAACTTCTCAGTTCTGATCATTTTGCTTCTCTTTGATACCATCCAGCCACACTTGTGTAATCCAAATGACATCCCTATATCCTTGCTGTAGATCCTGGTGGTGTGGATCAGTGAGTCGAATTCTTGCTCATTCTTGGCATACAGCTTGATGTCATCCATGTAGAGCAGGTGACTGATTATTACCCCACTTCTGAAATGGTATCCATTGCCAGTCTTCTTGATGATCTGACTGAGGGGATTTAGGCCTATGCAAAACAGCAGTGGTGACAGTGCATCCCCTTGGTATATAGCGCATTTGATGTTGACTTGGGCAATCGGCTTTGAGTTGGCCTCTAGGGTCGTCTTCCACATTCCCATGGAGTTCTTAATGAAGGCTGTTAGTGTTCTGTTGATCTTGTATAGTTCCAGACATTCCAGTATCCATGTGTGTGGCATTGAGTCATAGCCTTTCTTGGAGTCAATCCAGGTGGTGCACAGGTTGGTCCTCCTGCTCTTGCAGTCTCGGGCGATTGCTCTGTCGACCAGTAGCTGGTGCTTTGCTCCTCTGGTGTTACTGCCAATTCCTTTCTGTGCCTCGCTCATGTATTGGCCCATATGCTGAGTTATCATAGCCGCTTTGATGCCTGACAGGCGCTTCCATGTTGTGGAGAGACAGGTTATCGGTCTGTAGTTGGATGGATTGGTTCCGTTCTGGGGGTCTTTCTTGATCACAACTGTCCTGCCCTGGGTCAACCATTCTGGGTGGCTCCCATCCCTTAGCAGCTGGTACATCTGTGCTGCTAGGCATTCACTGAGTGCAGTTAGCTTCTTCAGCCAGTATGTATGGATCATATCAGGGCCTGGTGCTGTCCTGGTGCTGTAATATTGAATGATGTTGGGAAAATGCTGGATAAATGGGTTAACTATTTTTCTTCTCTTTAGTTTTCTTTTTTGTTAAATACACTACACACATGGTTGGGCACAAATTTTAAATAAGAGGTGAGGATCCTGTAGTGCATTTGGTTTTACACAGATGAAGATTTACAATGCATCCTAACAAGTCTTACTAACTCAGTATTACATTCTTTTATTTGTTGTAGATGTTAGAACTATAATGGGTTTTTTTGGCTTCCGATGGATAAGATGGTTTTCACAGAGTCAGTGGAATTCGTATAGTATATTTTCTGTAGGTCTTTATCTTCCATGTCCACTGACAGCTCGGCTGCTGCATCTCTGCCAACCCTGTAGTCTCCTAAACAATGAATGCTGTAATGCACTATTCAACAATGCATCTGCTGGGAGCCACACTAACTATTAAACCAACACAAAAACAGGTTTAGTTTGCAAAAGTTATGCTGGAAAGAATGGTTAGAGTGGGAATATGACTGCAGATTGGAATCCAGAGATTGGCTGCCTAATGTGGTAAAGTGAAACAAGAAGAGGAAAGAGCTGCTCTCTCTTAGCTGCTGCAAATAAATTAACCATGAGCAAAGCTTTGACAGTGAAATGGCTAAAACGATGCTCAGTGGCCAGAACCAGAGGCCTTTTGTGGCATGTCAAACCCCTCTCTGTCCCGTTTTTCCCTGTCTGTAACTCTTCTGTCATGATAAAAATTAAAGTCAAAGTGCCAAAAAAGTCATTAGTATTTTAAAAAGAATTTACCCATATGAGTGTTTTCTGATCTAACGCAGGTTGACATCATTTGTCAGAGCCTTCAAAAACTAATTACAAATACATTAATATGACCATTTTCAAATCTTCAAACCTTATAGTTATGATGTGATTAAGTTCAGGTGACTAAAAGCACCTGCTTAAAGTTAGGAGGTGATCATGGTCATGGTTATAAGATCAACATTCTTTTAACCATCACCATGACTGTCTGTCCTGTTGGCACACACCAACACACAACCTCCACACCAACCTCCACCCCAAGATGTTTTGTGGCTCTTTAGTGTAACAGAATTCCACTGCTATAGGTCCTTGACAGTTAATGATATTCATTATTATATTTTCTCTATTTTGGCTCAGTATTGATGGAACTGCTCTCAACATAAATTGTTTGATCATAATTTATTTTTATGCATTTGATCTTTCTTAAAAAAGAACTGTTAAGAAAAATTAAAATTAAATTTATCCATGAAAATCAATCATTCTATTTCACTAGTCTCTCTTTCTGAGCATGTAAATGATCTATTACTAATTAAAATCATTTATCTTTGGCTTACTTTTCACTCTTTCTGTGATGAGACAGATAACTGGCCACTCACAGCTTCTGTTGCTAATCCGAGGACCTTCTTTAATTTTAGCACTGCATAGTAAACTGCAGACAAAAAATATAGCAGCAAGCGCCAGGCCAATACACTTGAACTGGTGGTGCCCCCTATTTTTTGCAATTTTAAAATGATTATTATCATTATTGTTATAAAACACATCCTGCAAGTTTTAGAATGATTAGACAAACAATATCTGATTTATAGTCTGATTTGTGATATACTGCGCCCATTTCCACATTTGTAGCACCCCTGAGCAGTTGATTCGAATAAAACTTTCACGGTATGTTTAAGGTAGTTATGTGGATATTTCCTAAAGTTTCGTGGTAACTGGCTCAAGTGTTGTGGAGTTGGGTCTGTTAATGTGCTATGCCAGGCCCCTTTTAAATTTCATTGGTCAATATCCTCAAAACGCGATGAGATATCAACAGGCTTATGAAAACTTTTGATAAGCTTGGTCCAATAATGATCTATCGAAAATGTGGTACAAATTGGACCTACAGTTTATGAGTAAATGTCAAACATGTGTTTTTCAAAAAATTAAAAATGGCATAAAATTTTACCACAGCACCGTAATGATTCTTATGTGTTTTTCATAGAGAATTGTGTCAAATTTCAATCAGTCAATCAGACTTAAGGTGTGAGGGGTGTGTCGGTTCAAAAACTGAATTTTTGGCCTTAATCATAGCGCCCCCATCTGGCCAACTGGCATCCTATTTCTTGAGCAGCATTTGCATACAAATTCCAATCACTGGTGAAAATTTCATTTGTCATCAAAAAAAACATTTCTGGAGAAAAAAAATTGAAAAGTAGTCAAAGCAAAATCAATAGGGATTCAGCCCTTTGGGCTTGAGCCCCTAATTACAGACTATTCATGCTCAGCTATTTTAACTAAATAAAGAAAGTCTAAAAGCCAGATTTAACCTGAAACACAGATGAATGTGGCATAGTCTCCTTTGGCTCCAGTAGGCAGGAAAGACATCCTTTTCTTTTTCCTCCTCCGCACCTCCACTGCCACCAACATCCGCTCATCACGAGGGATGAAGACCTCTTTGTTGATAGCAGACTGAATGTTCATTGTAGTCCTGAGGCCAACACAGGTGATGGATGGACAAGACTGTGCTTGTTAGGCCACACTCCAGACTGTGGACATGGACAAAAAGACTAAGAGTAAAAGAGACACAGGCTCAAGAATCAGATCAGTTGTTTTCTGCAAGTCTCTGAAATGAAAGCAAGTGATCAGAGAAAGCACAAGAGCTGACATCATAGCCCTGGAAAAGTCACTGTGAGCATATGGTGCTCAAACATGACTTAACACTTTGTCTCTACTTACAACCACATTATACAGCACATCATGTGTTTTTTTTTACAATGTCTATGGTGACTATATTTAGTTTAATTCTCAGCTTTATTCAAAAATGATCTTCTGTCTCCATGTGTGTAAGACATTAGCACAATAAGAAATATATGACTAATAAACATATTTAAAAGTGTATTAAGTCTGAAATGATTTGTTGATGAATTAATTTTTCAACTGACAACAAAATGAATCAACAACTTTGATAATTGACTGATAAAGTAATTTCTCAAGCACATGCACCAATTATGCTGCAGCTTTTCTGTTATATTCCTGATATTACAGGAAGCTGGATATTTTTGTGTTTTGTTACCTTCAGCTCTGGGAAACTGTGATGGTCATTTTATTACTTTCCATCATCTATCATAAGACTTTAAAAAAAAAATCTGTTAATCTGACAAATAATCAACGAATTAATCAAACATAATCATCAGCTCAGCACATACAAAATCTATATGAAGAATTATAAAAGTGGCCATAAAATCTACAAGGAGTCATTATATGTCATGCTGTTTACAGCATGTATCACTATGACTTAATAGGCTGTTGGCAATTTTTAACATGCATGGGTATGAAAATATTATCAATATTATTTGTGTGAACAGATCAATAATCTCTGTGTTAATGTGTAATCTGTAATTATAAAACACCTTCAACAACTACAAAAAAAAATTCAAAAAAACTATTTAGCAAATTTTAAACACAGCTACACATACATAGACAAATTCTACAAACTAAAACCTCTGACTACATTTAATTGAAGTGAATATCTTTCTAAGATTATATATATATATAGATATATAGATAGATAGATAGATAGATAGATAGACAGATAGATATAGATATTTATGAATCCAGTTTTATTTGTGAATCTCAATTCTACACTTAAGGTTTCATTTTTGGAATTTGTGTATTTGCAGATCTGTTCTTCTTTTCTTATTTTATATTTACATATTACACATTAACACACAGATGGTAGATCTGTTCTTATAAATACTGATTCAGATATATCTCCTTATTTGTGTATTTACAGATCTGTTTGACATTTGAAAACAAAAACAGTAATTTCAGTTTACAAACCTTTTTTTCTGTATTTGTAGAAGGTGTCTTATATTTACAAATTACAAATTAATACATGGATTGTTGATCTGTTTGCACTAGTAATATTGGCACAAATCTATCTCCATATTCGGTTGACTTAGTAAATGGTGAAAGGAGTAGACCTATCAAAATTTCTCTTCAAAATAATTACCATTAAAACTTTGTACAACATGTTACATTAAATTTTCTGTATGAAAAAACTATTCCTCCGCAGATTTGAAAAGGTCTTTTTATAGGCTTTGAAGCTTAGGTTAACACACCTTTTAGTGCGTAGTTTAAAGGCTAAAGTAGATACCGATCTATTCATCTGTGCCTTTCCTACAGCACATTAATAATGCACGATTCTCCATCCAGGTGCCTACCTGTTCTTGTCCCTTTCTTCTGACTCCTGTACTGGCTTCAAACGTTAAATTAGTAGCCTGATAAATTCATAAAATATTTCCCACAACTCCCCTGTGAGTTGTACACGTGCACACCGAACGGCGAGCCTTGCTGTGAAGGCGCAAATAACCCACAGTCCATCCCATTTCAAGAGATGGACATGCACGTGTTTAAAGGCTGGAGGTCAAAAAACAGTTCTCAGTGTTGTGTCGTGCACGCACGGTCAGATTTGTATTCACCTCACGGGAACGCGCCCAGCGGAAACTAGCGAACACTGCAATGACTTATGCAGCGAATACTGCCTGAAAACGGTGCAATGTAGCCTACTAAAACTGTGTGGGCTTCATCGGTGATGAGAAATAAAATGCAGTCTATAGTTTATCAACGTTTACGGTCTTAATGTTTTTTTTTTAAACTCAGTATCATGTCCTTATGTAGCCTATGGTCTGATTTTTTTCATTAATCCCTCAATATTTGTGAGGGTGAACTCTTTGCTGTTCTTTTTCCATGTGTGTTTAAGCATTTTACACAGTTATACTGAAGTTTTAAGCCAAAATGGCTAAAACAGTATGCAATAACTGCATTTGATTCATCTCAACAAATAAAGATATGTATTTATTTATGGTTTATCTAATAGGGACTGATGCAGTACACATAGACACAATGGAAACACCTGTCTGATGCAAGTATCACAATGGTTACCAACCAGGGGTACGGGGACCCCTGGTGGTCCTTGAGGGAGCTTCAGTGTGTCCCCAGAAAAAAAAAAGGAAACAGGTCATTTTCACTGTAAACCATTTTAACTGACAGAAATAGTCTGCCAGTGCATGTGTCTGTGTTTTTGCTTGTTGCTGTGATTTCTTGGAATATTTTGAAATGCTTCATATCCCAAAAACATGCACATGCATCTGTACAGCCTACACGCTATAAGGTTACACCATAATAATTGATTAAAGTATTAAAAGTTTGTCAATTGTCAATTTGTCAAAGTTTGTTCGATTTTTTTAGTTTTTGAGAAATGCTCATTTTTGTGAGCAGAGTGCAAAGCTGTTTTAATGGTTTCATATTTCCCCAGTGCCTACATTGGTATTTTTTTGGTATTTCATCATCATCATCATCATTATTATCATCATCATCATCATCATCATCATCATCATTTATTGGTCACATGGAAAGTATACGTAGTACAACTCTAGTTAAATGAGATCCCATCAAATCCTTTACGTTTTGCTCTGTTATTTTTCTTCTTCTCACAGTGTTGGCTGATCCTTTATAACTGTCCATGTTTCCAGATGGTTCTGCTCATCAATGGTTTCTGGTTATGGAATGATTTAAATGTTAATGTAGCACCTGAAAAAAATGTTTGTTTTAATGTAGTGCATTCCCTGTTATTTTCAGCTGACATTTCATTCAGTAGTAGGCACTTATTTCTAGTTCGTTTGTTTAAGTAGTTGTAATTGTACTTGCCAGCAGGGGGCAGAGTGATCAATGACTGCCAGTCAAGTAGTAGAAGAAGCAGAACTTTTTGGTTGTTAGAAGGAGCTCTGTTTTTTGGAATTGTGTTTGTGTGTCCGGTGCTGCAGTGGCAGTGATCTACTGCAGTAACAGGACAGCAGCTCACATTATCACCAACACACCAGTCTTTACTCACTGTAAAGCACACGCCTCTTCTTCTCTCAACAGAGAGAGCAGAGAGCTGCTCAAATACATTGAGCACACATTTTTCAACATTTACTCTTTTTAAGTTTCATTGAAACGTATATAAAATACATTGTGGCCTACAGAGGTTTCTTGATATACTAAAATAAAGCAAAGAAATAATTTTTGGACCAGGAAGTTCACCTCAGTATAACTTTATGTTTGGCACTCTAATATCCACACAGGCAGGACATCAGTAACTGTGTATATGACTTAATTCATGGTGCAAAACATCTTTTACCACAACATTAACTGTATCCCCTGAGAACCATTGTTAAATACATATACATTGATCACTGTGTAATGGGTAACGTGAGTGAGTGAACAAGAAGAAGAGGGCCTTTAGGAGGAGGGATCAGGAGGAGATGCAGAGGACACAGTGCAAGCTCAGGCTGTGTCTGAGGGAGGCCAATGAGGCGTACAGGAGGAAGCTGGAGAGCAGGTTGCAACAGAACAACATGAGAAAGGTGTGGAAAGGCATGAAAACCATCACCGGCTGCAAGCAGTCCAAGGATGGAGCAGCAGAGGGAAACAGAGAGATGCATGTGCATGTATGCATGCATGTCCCCCCCCCCAGGTCCCCCTCCTGCAGCAGCTTTACAACTTGAGCCTACACCTGGAAAAGGTGCCCACCCTGTGGAAGACATCATGCATCATTCCAGTACTGAAGGGGAGGAGCCCCAGTGACTTCAATGACCTTAGACCAGCGGTGCTCATATCCCACCTTATGAAGACACTTGAGCAGCTCATACTCCACCTCATCTGCTCTCAGGTCTAGCACGCCCAGGAACCCCTTCAATTCGCCTATCGGGAGAAGGTGGGGGTCAAGGACGATGTCCTGTTTCTCCTCCACAGAGCGTACTCCTTCCTGGACAAAGGAAATGGCTCACTGAGGATCCTTTTCTTCGACTTTTCCAGCGCATTCAACACAATCCAACCCCTTCTCCTGCAGGAAAAACTGTTCAAAATGTGCGTTGACCCCTCCGTCATGTCTTGGATCATAGACTACCTCACTGACAGGTTGCAGTTTGTTAGGCTGAGAGGCTGCACATCAGACACTGTGACCAGCAGCACAGGAGCACCAAAGGGGACTGTGCTCTCCCCCTCCTCTTCACCCTGTACACTGCCAACTTCCAGTACAACTCGGACACATGTCACATGCAGAAGTTTTTGGATGGCACTGCCATTGTGTGGTGTATCAGGGGAGGCAGTGAGGAGGAGTACTAGAACATTGCGGAGGACTTCGTGAAATGGTGTCGACTGAATCAGCTGCAGATTAACACTGCCAAAACCAAGAAGATGGTAGTTGACTACAGGAGGACAAATCCCCACCCGAAGCCAGAGAGAGACACCTGCACTTACTAAGTTTTTATCCCAATAGACTCATTTTTAGCCACTTTAAGCCACCTCTGCCACTTTACAATACAGGGTATATACATTTTTTATGCCTACATTTTTATTATTCTTCTATTTTCTCTTCTTTGATCTTATATTTTAAGTATAATTTTTATTGGAATGTGTGTGGAGTGGGTTTTACACACATCACACCAATCAAATGAGCCCCTCTCCTCGCCCTTACAGTTTTTCTCGATTGGTTTGGCTCATTTCTTGAAACAGAAATTACATTCTCAAAACAACATAGACAACCCTCCAAACCACTGGGCACTTCTTCACAACAGATTTCAAATTCTCATTCCTTTCAACAAATTGCAAATGTCTTAGCACACTTTGAAAATGATTAAATACAATTGTCTACAGTTTGCACAAATTGCAAATGTCTAGCACATCTTTGCAAATGATTGATTACAGTTGCCTACAGTTAGCACAATTACCAATTGTATATATCTTGCTGATCTAAACTAACTGTTGATTGTCAGTCAAATGGTTTTACTCTCCAAAACATGTCAGCATTATTTCATTGTGTAAGCCATCACATGCACAAGAGTTCATTCAATTGTCAAAATTAGTCAGGAACATAATACCATGTATAACATCACATTACATGATATGAATATCTTTTGCTGATTGATAAATTGACTCAGGTGAATCTAGAACTTGACTAATAAAGGGGGTGTGTAACACATCTCAGATGACCAATCAAATGGTATGTTTAGTTACCTGACAGGTGCTATCCATGAGTATGATTTTTGCCAAACATACATATAGAGCTTGACCAGAATCAATACAATTTCTGAACATGGAGGCACCTGGCCAGGTAAACAATGACCAACTGCCTGCTTGAGGAAGAGGAAGAAGAAGAGGAAGAGGAGGAGGAGTAAGGGTGCGTGGTAGCGGAGTAGGTGGAAGAGGGCGAGGGGCACGAAGACACCATGCCGTTCAGGATGAAATTCGGGCTACACTTGTTGACCATGTGATCAATCATGGCCTCACAATGGCAGAGGCAGGTCGTCGAGTTCAGCCGAATGTGCCCAGATCTACAGTGTCTTCTATCATCCAAACCTTCCGTAGGGAAACAGGTAGGCCTATGTACTCATTCAACAATGGAATTACTGTATTGATAGTACAGTTTACAGTAGTATTCCAATTACTGTACAGCAATGCATTACAGTAGAATTTCAGTACATTACGTAACAGTAAAACAACAGTACAATTGGTAACTCATTCTGTGAGAAATTCATAAGGCATACAGTAGGTCTACAGGACAGGACAGTGCATCACAATACAAATGGTAATATTGTCTATTTGTGAATTCTATGTCTAGGATTGGACGACAACCTGTATTGTAGAGAATAATGGCATTGGAGGGGAATGAGACTCCTCACACCCTTGTTTTCGTGGATGAAGCCGGCTTCAACCTGGCCAAAGGAAGAAGACGTGGCTGGAATATTATTGGCCACCGGGCCACGGTGGATGTCCCAGGCCAGCGTGGGGGCAATATAACAATGTGTGCTGCCATTTCTGAAAATGGTGTGGCCACCCACATTCCCACCCTTGGCCCATACAATACCCAAAAGCTCCTGTTCTTTTTGGATCACCTTTATTCAGATCTCATCCCAGAAAATGAGAGAGGTTTCGTAGGGCCTCACTTGTCAAAGTTTGTAGTTGTGTGGGACAATGTCAGCTTCCACCGCGGCCCGCTCATCAGGGCCTGGTTCACTGCCCACCTTACTCCCCATTTCTCAATCCAATTGAGGAATTTTTCTCTGCTTGGAGGTGGGGGGTGTATGAGCATCGGGCTCAGAACCAGAGGTCCCTGCTTGAAGCAATGGATGCTTGCTGTGACAATGTCACAGCAGATCAATGCAGGGGATGGTTGCACGTAGATTCTTCCCCCGTTGCATCGCAAGGGAGAATATCAGGTGTGATGTGGATGAAAATCTGTGGCCAGACAGACAGCAGAGAGAGGACGACCACGAGAGTGAAGATGAGGAGGACGACCATTGAGGTGGAGTTACTGGTGTGAACGATATTGCATATAATTTTCCTTTTTTTGTGTTGATGTGTTTACAGTACAGTATATTTTGCTGT